TGGGTGTACTATAAATCCCAGCAACTACAACTCCCAAATGACAAAATCAATTTTTGAGTGAAGGACATACATTGGGTTGTTAGGTGTATTGTGTCCAAATTTGGTGTCAATTCGTCCAGTGGTTTTCGAGTTCAGTTAATCCCACAAACGAACATTGCATTTTTATTTATATAGATATTACATGTAATATCACTATCACTATATCACTGCAGTATAGTGATATAGTACAATATAGTAATACTAATATTGTGCTATGCTATTCATATAATATATTGTATGTACATATCATATTGGTCATAATATTATAATGTAATACAGTATAATAGTGAAATGAATAGCTTATAGTGGTTGTAGATTATATATTGCATGTGATACTGCTGGTGATATTGCAGTGTGGTGTTGTGGTATAGTGTAGTAATGCATAGTACTAGTGTTCTGCTGTACTGTGCTGGTAATGTAGTGTATTGCTTTAGGGGCTGAAAGGGAAAAGGAAAGGACCTGAGGTTGTTAGGAACTGGGAGTTGAATTCCAAAACACCTGAAGAACCCAAGTTTGCCCATGCCTGACCTAAAGCTACTGGATGTTACCTGAGGTACTATTCCAGATTCATTTCAAGGAGCTTGTGTGAATGTTTTAAACATAAGCACATGCTTTGGTATCAACTGAATTATTGCCTCTGTTTGATTATGTTGTGGTTTTAATTGTAGTCATTAAAACAAGGTCGCAGGGAGATGCATTTACAAGGGGGTGTTGCAAACCCTCTGCAAGGCAGACTTCACGTGAAAACAATAAAAACCCCTTTGAGAAGAGTCCTTCCATGTGCTGAAGGTGTCAGCTAAATGTAGTAATTATTTTATAATTTAAAGACTTTATACTCTCCAAGTTTAGCAGAGTGCTTGTTGTTGTTGTTGTTGTTGTTGTGTGTCTTTAAGTTGAGTTGTCAAAAACTTTCATGGTCATAATCACTGGGTTCTGTGAGTTTTCTGGGCTGTATGGCCATGTTTCAGAAGCATTCTCTCCTGATGTTTTGCCCACATCTATGGCAGGTATCCTCAGAGGTGTGAAATTCAATGGAAACTAGGCATGGGTGAATGTTGCAATTTGTATATTTGTGGAATGTCCAGGTGGGAGATAGAACTCTTATCTGCTTGAGGCAAGTGTGAATGTTACAATTGGCCAGCTTGATTAGCATTGAATAGGGTTCTTGTAGGTTTTTCGGGCCATATGGCCATGGTCTAAAGGCATTCTCTCCTGACAATTCGCCTGCATCTATGGCAAGCATCCTCAGAGGTAGTGAGGTCTGTTGGAACATAAACAACATAATAATAATAATGGGGGGGGGGAGATTATATAGCCTTGCAGCTTCAAAGCTTTGCTGCATCCTGCCTGGGGGTAGCCTTTGTTAGGAGGTGTTAGCTGGGCCTGATAGTTTCCTCTCTGGAATTCCCCAGTTTTCTGAATATTGCTCTTTATTTACTGTCCTGATCAACATCAAATCATCCGGGCGTCCCCTGGCCAATGTCCTTGCAGACGGCCAATTCTCTCACACCAGAAGCGACTTGCAATTTCTCAGGTTGGTCCTGACAAGACAAAAAAAAAACTGTCCTGATTTTAGAGTCTTTTTTGATACTACAAGCCACATTTATATATCTGTGGGCATTCCACAGATATAGAAACTCCACTTGCCTAGTTTCCAACAGACCCCACAAGGGCCCCCCTAAATATATACTAATAAAGCAGTATATCATTAGATATTATTCTATATTTTCAGGTAGTGCTAATGCATTTATTACAATAAATACATTAGCACTACCACACCACAATATTATTATAATAGATTATATTGCACTACTATTAGTACTGTATTCTATTACACCACAACATCACCATCAATATTATATGTATATACACTATATTACATTACCAGCACAGCACAACACCAGTACTGTACATTACTACACTGTACCACATTACCACACTGCAATATCACCAGCAGTATCATATGCAATATATAATATTTTATTATTATTATTATTATTATTATTATTATTATTTAATAATAATAATAATATATAGCCATCTCTGAGGATACCTGCCATAGGTGTGGGTGAAATGTCTGGAGAGAATGCTACTGGAACATAGCCTAAAAAACTTCACAGCAATCCAGTATCTTTAAGTTGGGTTGTTGTAGGTTTTTCGGGCTGTATGGCCATGTTCTAGAAGCATTCTCTCCTGATGTTTCGCCTGCATCTGTGGCAAGCATCCTCAGAGATTGTGAGGTAAGTTGTTTCTCACTTATTGCAACCCCAAGAGGGTTTTCTTGGCAAGAATGGTTCAGGACAGGTTTGCTTTGCCTTCACCTGAGGCTGAGAGAGTGTGATTTGCCCATGGTCATCCAGTGGCTTTCCATGGCCCAAGCATAGATTCAAACCTGGTCTCCAGAGTTGTAGCAAAATCCACTATGCCATGCTCAATCCACTATGCCATGCTAGCTCTCAGGGTCGGTAATAGGAGATTAAAAACTGTGAATGGGATTGCTTTCTGTCCTTTTGTTTTCTTTAGGCTGTCTCTCTTCCCAGCTTCTATGGTTGCTAAGGGGGGGATTTACTTCCTGTTTATAAATTCGCTCAGAAAGTTCATATGATCAAAGGGTTGCCTTCCAATAAGGAGCAACAGATCCAGCCGGGATGATCAAAGCATTTTATGTAAAATCTGCATCCTCCACCATGCATTCAGGGAATGTTTGCTGGGTCTGCTATACAGATCAGATTGCGTCATCAAGAACACATCTGATGATCAGTAGTGGATTTGGCTTTGATAATTCTGTGTGCAGTCCCTGTTCTCTACCTCTTTCTCCCTTCAAATATGATTGATGTTGTCAAATTTGTCAGCAGAAAATAGTATTTCACCAGACATAAAGATTGAGTCCCCTCCGGGGTAGAGGAAGGCGGGATAGAAATGCAGTAAATAAATAAATAAATACAGCAAGGAATTCTTCAAACAAAAAGAAACCATACATATAATTGTCCTGCAAAGGTGGTTCCAAATTTTTGGCACAGTATAAGGAGATTTGTTAGCTATTTCAATATAGACAAGACAGAGGTACCCTATTTGTCGAAAGGACAAATAGGGTATAGGGTTACAGCCTGTGCTGGATGGGGTTACACTCCTTCTGCAGCTTGGGAGTGATCTTGGATTCATTGCTGAGTCTGGTTTCAGCGGTGTCCAGGGAAGCTTCCACACAACTGGCACACTGTCAAAACTTGGGTGCCAGTTGCGCCCGTACCTTGTGAAGTCAGACTTGGCCATGGTGGTCCATGCTCTTGTTACATCGAGAATAGACTGCTGCAACACACTCTACTTGGGGTTGCCTTTGAAGACTGTTCGGGAGTGGCAGCCAGGTTTCTCACCAGGGAGCACACAATCCCCCTGTTATGTCAGCTCCACTGGCTGCTAGGCTGCTACCCAGCACAATTCAAAGTGCTGGCTTTAGCCTATAAAGCCCTAAATAGTTCTGGCTCAGCTTATCTGTCCAAACGTATCTCCCTCTATGGATCATCACGGAGGTTAAGATCTTCAGGGGAGGCCCTGCTCTCAGACCCACTTCCTTTGCAAGTGCGGTTGGTGGGGATGAGAGACAGCCTTCTCAGTGGTGGCTCCTTGGCTCGGGAACTCTCTTCCCACTGAGATTAAATCAGCCCCTCCCCCCTTGGTCTTCAGGAAAAAAAGACATGGTTGTGGGACCAAGCCTTTGGCCAGTAAAGTACTGCAGTGTAAGAAATAATTAGGGAATATGTGTAATTGACAATTTGGAATAGCTACTGTTTATGATTTTGGATCATGTGATTTTAATGTTTATACTGGGATGTTTTAATGCTATGTTTTAATGTTTAACTGTTGCTTATGTCTTATTGTTAATGGTCTTAATTGATTTTAACTCATAGTTATAAGTTATTGTTTAGATATTATGAAATTTTACATGTATGTCTGGCATTGCATTTTGCCATTCGTATGTTGTAAATGGCTTTGAGTCCCCCCAGGGTGAGAAAAGCAGTATATAAATACAGTAAATACATGAATACATTTCAGATTTATTTATTTATTTATTTTCTCCTTAGGTAGTCAAAGGATGCATTTACACTGTAGTGTTAACACAGTTTGGCATCACTTTAACTGCCATGGCTCAATACTATGGAATCCTGGAAGTCGTTGTTTGGTGAGACCCAGCATTCTTTGGTAAAGAAGGCTGAACACCTTGTAAAACTACAATTCACATGTGTCCATAGAATTGAACTATGACAGAGTGGTGTCAGATGGCATTAATAATTCGGCGATATAGATACCCCTAAAGAGTAGAGTACACTTCTTGTATTGGTTTGGGGTGGAAATTAATGTACAAGCAGAGTCTATAAATATGTTGTGAACATAGCGGAGTTGTTAGAGCACCCAGTGGTGCAATGGGTTAAAGCCTTGTGCAGGCTGAACTGCTGACCGAAAGGTCGGCGGTTTGAATCCAGGGAGTGGGGTGATATCCTGTCTGTCAGCTCCAGCTTCTCATGCGGGGACATGAGAGAAGCCTTCGACAGGATGGTAAAACCTCCGGGCATCCCCTGGGCAACGTCCTTGCAGAGAGCCAATTCTCTCACACCGGAAGCGACTTGCAGTTTCTCAAGTTGCTCCTGACATGAAAAAAAAGTGAAGTTGATTAGTACTCTAATCAATGGGGGGAAATCTATTTTTGATCTATCTTTTGGTCCTTTGAAATCAATTTACTATCAGGATCCAGCAGAGTGAATATAGTATGGTGGTTAGCAGAGAAAGTAAAACAATTATCATATCATTTATGTATTGTAATAATGTGGTAAATGTCGGTGTCATTCTCATTTTTTCCCCTCAATTCCATGAGGGAGCCTTAAGATTTCCTTGTATTTTATACAAAGAATACTTCTTTTGTATAGAGAAAAAAAATACTAAATGCCAGCTTTGTTTTCTTGGTGCAGGCAGTACAGACTACTGGAGAGCTAAATTCGCACAATAGATGTGAACACAATAACCCCAAAAGATGCCCAGATGAGGAAGAAAGGCTTCAGTTTGGAGAGGATGAAGAGGACAAGGCTTTGGATGTGAGCTCCAACTCCCTCTGCCCTCATGCATGCACTGAAAACATGTCCACGTACCAGAATGGCTGTGGAAACGGCACCTCGGTGGCCTGTATAGTGATGGATAAGAAAGAATCTAGGAATCATGCTACCTCATTATGTCATAATGGGAGGTGTGACATGAGCAGCAGCTATGAAAATGAAATCCAGGAGGATAAAACCAGCCCTTCCAAAATCATGCGTTTTTTTTCCATCAACGTGGAAAGGCCTCACTCCTTGATAGTTATGGGGAACTCCTCAACGTGGAATGCACTATCTTCTATTAGAAAAATTGGATCGTTCAAAAAGTTAAAATCTCCGATTTCCCCAGGAAGTCCAAACACGGAAGATTCGGACAACTTACACACCAGCATTTCAGATAATGATATGAGAAAGCGTGTCCCAAACAATGCAACTGTGAGAGTTCAGACTAACAGGTATTCTTATTCAGGGCCCCTCCATGATTTGCAGAGTACAGCAGATAACGCCTTAGTTTCTGATAATTCTGATGGAGAGGAAAGCGACGATTCCTTCCTAAGGAATACTCGTCGCTCACGCAGCATCAGGCGTGCCTATGGGGTCGGCCGCATTAATTTATTAGACACTGACAAAATTCAGGATCAACAGGACAGCACAAATAAAGTATCCCCTGCCATCCAGGAACCCCACATTTGCGAAATCGTCGTGAAAGATTCCGAAAGCAACAAAGTCATCTACAGGAGGAGCAAGAGCACAGATAACCTAAACTTTCTGAAAAAAAGTTCATTCAAAAGGAAGTCAACCTCAAACCTCACCGACCTCAGAGTTGTAAATGAGAAGCAAACTCCGCTGAGGACAACAAGCACTTCGTCTGCCGACTCTGACAAAACCAACAGGAACTCAGAGCGGAGATCAAAACGCTGGAAAAGCCCCATCAGAGCAAAGGATTTTGACCGGGTTTTGAAGCTCGTCAGCAATGTCGCCGATGCTGCGTTGAAGAAAGACAGTCCGAAGAGTGAAATTCCACCTTCCAACGAGCAGAACCAGAGGACAAGGCCAAATAGTAGGCTGCATGATGATTATTCACGCCGGGTTTCTAGCAACAATGAGACTGAGAAGCGGAGATGTCCTCCATCCCGAAGTAGTCAAGACTCAACAGTTTGCAGATCTAGCATCCAGAGTTCTGAAAGTGACAATGTTGGCACAACGGTGTTAACCCTTGATGCTGGCAGCAATAGGATATCCTCTTGTGAACTCTCGGACTCTATTTGTTTATCCCCTCCTCTTCAGGACATGGAACCAATTCCAAATGAAGTGTTTTATGAAGACTCAGAAAGGCCCCAAAGTTCCAGCCAGTTTACATGCAGCACCCAGCATCCTGTCGTCCCTCCTAGACCTTCTGTGCCCAAGCCTCAGAGCCCCAGTACTGAAAACATCAAGTGCAATATGAATTCCCACTGTCCCGACCGGCACAGCACCGTGTCGCTCAGCTCAATGGAAAGTGAGGAAAGGGGGGAGGGTCCTTCCACAAAGCTGGGAAAGAGTCCTGTTTACTTCCAGGACTCAGTGCAAGCTGTGTACTACGACGATACAAATGAAGACAGTGGCATCAGCAGCCACTCCCAGCTGAGTCTCAATTTAGCCCCGAGTGCTGATGAAAAGAAGGAAGAGGTAAGCAGGAAAGCAAATTCTGTGTCTCTAAGGCAAGTGGCAGTAACCTACTTCCTGGTAGAGTAAGCATGATCTTCTAATGAAATACAATGTCAAGTGTGTGTTTTTGTATCTACTGTACACATTTGCTTAGAAGGTGCTCCCTTTGAACTTGATGGGATTTATTCCAAGGAAATGTGCCTAAGGTTTTGGCCTTAGTTCTGTTTTGAAGGAGACCCCAAACTTATTTTCCACTCCCATTCACCAAGCACTGAAAGAGTGTGTATTTCCAAGGGCAGTTCATAAACTCACTACCTTGTGACAGGAGGATCAAGCTAGAGCAGGATCCAGCTGGGAGAGTTTGTGGCCAGAGCTCTTATAAGTATCATTGAATGCAAGCTAGATTGAAATGGTAAATGACCTTGCAGTCAGTCCCCCAGATGCACAATGACAGCTGAACAAATCGCCATGAGCCTTTTGTGGTTTATTTTATTGAATGGCAGTGTGGGTTGTCAGATATTTAGCTGCATAGAGATGTGTTCAAAAGGAACCCATGTCTTGCACATAATGGCACCTGAAGATTAAATTTAGTTCCAATAATCACAGTTTTCCTATGACATACCGTAATTTTTGTCTCTTTTTTGTGTTAGTTCTTCATAATATCTTCACTCAATAACTTGAGTATGTATAGAGTACCTGAAAACCTTTGATTAAGATTCTTCTTAAAACATTGCACAATTATGGGAACTGCTACAACTTTGATCTTTTCTTATATAAATATAGACATCCATGACAATTTTAACACATTTCATTATGTGTGTTCTAAGGCTTTTATGGCCAGAATCACAGGGTTGCTATGAGTTTTCCAGGCTCTATGGCCATATTCCAGAAGCAGTCTCTCCTGATGTATCGCCCACATCTATGGCAGGCATCCTCAGAGGTTGTGAGGTCTGTTGGAAACTAGGCAAGTGAGGTTTATGTATCTAGGCAGAGAAGCCATTGAAATCCGCAAGCATGTGGACTGTGGATTGTTGTAGGTTTTCGGGCTGTATGGACATGTTCTAGATGCATTCTCTCCTGACGTTTCACCTGCATCTGTGGTAGGGATGTTAGGGAATGCTTCTAGAACATGGCCATACAGCCCAAAAAACCTGCAACAACCCAGTGATTCCGGCCATGAAAGTCTTCAACAATACATGTGGACAATTTCAACAGAAAGGAGAAAACCATGAAAACGAACAAAATTTGGCTACCAGTATTTAAAATTATTCTAAAATCATGACAGTAAATAAAGAACAAAGCTCAAAAAACAGGGGAATTCCAGACAAGAATCAATCAGGGCCAGCTAACACCTCCCAACAAAAGATCTTCAAGCAGCAAGCAGCCCAGCTATCAAGCTGTAAGGCCATTAAATGCTAATCAAGGTGACCAATTGCAACATTCACACTTGCCTCCAACAGACATTAATTCTTTCTCCCACCCTGGGCCTTCCACAGTTATATAAACCTCACTTGCCTAGTTTCCAGCAGACCTCACAACCTCTGAGGATGCCTGCCATAGATGTGGGCAAAACGTCAGGAGAGAATTCATACAGCCCAGAAAACTCAACAGCAACGCATGTTGAGTTTTGCCAGCCTTGTGAGCTGGCTTGAAAGTTTGTATTGTGTAAATTGAAAACTAGTCAAAATTCAAAACAAAGATTGGTCAGAATATGACTGAAAGAGAATTAAACTGCCCCACAATAGCGCTTTCCTCCATTGACTTTGTTAGCCAAGGTCTAAATATTCTTTTCTCACTCTTTTTGTCCTTTGACACTACATACTATTCCCAGGAAGACTAGAGGTACTTTGGTAAAAACTGAATTTTTGGGAGAATTGCCTCAAGTAATTACAATGGCACATGTTTAATATCTTATTCCAAGAGAAATAATGTAGGCTTTTTAGACTGAAGTCCATATAGCCATGATTGCATGTGTTCTCAAGTTAGGGTGATCACACAAATTTCATGGAGTTTTCTTAGGCAAGAAATTTGCAGAGGCATTTCTGCCAGTCCCTTCCTTTATCATAAAATACCTAGTTGTTGGTGGTCTCCCATTCGAGTACTAATCAGGGCTGACCTTGCTCTGCACAGCCCCAAGTAGCACAATGGGTTAAACCTTTGAGCCAGCAGAACTGGTTGGTGGCTTGAATCCGGGGAGCGAGGTGAGCTCCTGTCTGTCAACCCCAGCTTCCCATGCAGTTACGTGAGAGAAGCCTCCCACAGGATGGTAAAACATCCGGGCGTCCCCTTGCAGACGGCCAATTCTCTCACACAAGAAGCAGCTTGCAGTTTCTCAAGTCACTCCTGACATGAAAAAATAAAAATAAACCCTGCTTTGCTTCCAGGATCAGAGGGGATTTGGTGGCTTTAGGGAGTTCAGGCCCCCAGAGGCACCCTTTGGCAAAAAGTAACACAGGACACTTGTTTGAGAGAAGGAAGAGGAACCAGTGATACCCATTTCTGTGGTTTTCACACCCATGTCATACTCTCCTTTTTCTTGTGTTTCCTCTTTCTTAACTTGCACCATGTACTAACGGTTACATGGTTACATTATTGCAAGGGTTTTTTTTTACTATATGAATTAAGTTGCAATTTGTCTTGCAACTTCTCCCCCTTTTCCTACTGGTCTGAGATATAGATAGATAGATAGATAGATAGATAGATAGATAGATAGATAGATAGATAGAGGCAGTCTAAGAACAAGATAGGTTCTGTAGGTTTGTTCTTAAGTTGAATTTGTTTGTAAGTCGGAACAAGTACATTTTTAAAGTATATCTACAGCCATACACACACACAAGCTTTGGATAGCACAGGGAAGGGTTAACACCCGTGTGGTGTTTGTTTTGCTGTCTGTGCCCCTGTTCAGAAAATTTCACCTCATTTTCTGTCCCTGTGATAATTGGATTTTGAAAAAAAATGGCTTTTTGTGGAAACAAGGATTGGTGAGAAAGCTTTATTTGAGTCACATTTTCCCCATGATAACTCTTCAGGAGTCAGTTTTTCTTCCTAGGGGTAGATTTGTCTTACTTCCTGTTGTCTCACTCGATTCTTGGCGCAATGGGTTAAACCCTTTCTGACTAACAGGTTGGCCGTTGGAATCCAGGGAACAGGGCGAGCTCCTGTCTGTCAGCTCTAGCTTCCCATTCGAGGACATGAGAGAAACCTTCCACAAGGATGGTAAAACATCAAACATCCTGGAAGGCCATCATACTCGGGCAATGAGGGATAATCTAAGTAAGTGTCATGGCTCAATGTCATGGAATCCTGTGATGTTTTAATTGATATGTATGTATGTACGTTGTGGCATCAATTGTTGCTGATCTGTACACCACGCTAAGTCGCCTTCAGGCTGAGAAGAGTGGGATAGAAATGCTGTAAATAAATAAATAAATAAATAAATAGATAGATAAATATCCCCTGGGCAACGTCCTTGCTGATGGCCAGTTCTCTCACACCAGAAGCGACTTGCTTCGGACACACACAAAAAACACAAACCTATTCTTAACTTTGAGTCATATGTTTGTAACTCTGGTACTGCCTGTACTTTCTTTTGAAATTCTGTCTTTTATTTCTTTAAAGCTTTCTTGAAGTATTGTTGAAGGATTTCTTTCCCGGAATCACTGGGTTGTTGTAGGTTTTTCGGGCTGTATGGCCATGTTCTAGAAGCATTCTCTCCTGACATTTTGCCTGCATCTATGTCAGGCATTCTTGAAGGTTGTGAGGTTTTTTTTGAAGTGTTGCCTGGATCCAATTGTGGCACAAATATTTGGTGTTGTGGCTCAAGTATTTGGTGTTGGTGCTGTGTAAAGTGTTGTAGGAAAGCTGTGGATCAACAAGATCCAAATATTTATTGGATTGTGAAAGTACTGATTAACAAAAATCAGGGAATCATGTAGTCAGATTTCCACATTTGCTGGGTCAGGGGTGCAGGACCACACCAAAAGTGAAAAGATGAAGAAAACCCCACAATCTCAATATATAAAACCAATTTTCCTAGTTTCCAACAGACCTCACAACCTCTGAGGATGCCTGCCATAGATGTGGGTGAAAGGTCAGGAGAGAATACTTCTGGAACATGGCCATACAGCCCGGAAAACTCACAGCACCCTTTATGAGCATTATATCTTTAACAGAAACAAGAATCACAATACATAGAGTAGGGATACAAGCTTACACCCAAAAAAAAAAAAACCCCAATTCAACATACTGCACAGTGTTTTTTTTCAAAAGTAACAAAAGGCACGTAGGAAACAAACAACTAATTAGGTAAACATTGCATAAGAAAACAAAACATTTGAATTTTCTGGAAGGGACTTGGAGGCTTCTCCCAAATGCATTCAGGATGTCTTTTTCTTTTTCTATTCTTAGAATTTCCATTTTAGTGGACAAATTTACAGATCTGTATCTTTTATACATGCTTGGGGTCGACCAACTTATTTGATCTCCCCCCTTTTCTGTCTTTTGTTATTCCATATGCTCATAAGGGATTTTGGAGGCAGCTGTTGTTTGCTTGGGTGCATATACACTATAGAATTAATGCACTTTGACACCTCTTGAACGGTTTTGACTCAGTGCTGTAGAATTTATTTATTTATTTACAGCATTTCTATCCCACTCTTCTCAACATGAAGGCGACTTAGGGTGGTGTACAGATCAGCAACAATTGGATGCCACAACGTACATACATACATATTAATTAAAACATCACAGGATTCTATGACATTGAGCCGTGACACTTACTTACTTAGATTATGGCTCGTTGTCCGAGTATGATGGCCTTCCAAGTGTAGTGCCTTGGCAGTGGATATTCTTGATCCGCATGTTCTTCCACAGTGAGGACATTGGTTTCCAGGTGGAAGGTCGTCCTGGTCAGGGTTGGCTTGATGCGCCTTCCTCTTGGCACAATTCTCCCTTTCACCCTCCATTCCTGCCTCTTCAAATTCCACAGCACTGGTGGTCACAGCTGACCTCCAGTTATAGCG